CATATATAATTTTTAAGAGATTTTTGCTATCAGACACACACGCTCCCTGAATCACAGAGAAACAGAAAGCAAGAAATCACCCTCAAGGGTGATGGTCATGCCTTCCAATCCATTCTCCTCCATTTTCTTCTAGGAATTTTGGGCACACACATAAACATGCCTAGCGTGTTTTTTTTTTTTTAATGATTTAATTTAATGTTTCCATTTATTTTGACTATAGAGGGACAGAGCGAGAAACAGGGAAAGTAAGAAAGGAAGCAAGCTGCCAGGTCTAGGATTTGAACTGCAGTCAGCCATGAGTCCAACGCCCTTAACCACCACACCACCCAGCATGAGTTTGAGTCTAGGACTCAAACCATGGTGAACTAAGTAGGAATGTAGCAACGTAACCATTACACCATCCACTGGTGCCAATAATTCTTCAAAAAAATAAGAGATCCTATTATTTGTGAATACATGAGGGAACCTGGAGGACTTTATGCTCAGCTAGATAAGCCAGGCCCAGAAGCCAAATACCAGATGATCTCACTTATCTGAGGACTCTAAAACAGTCAGACTCGTAGTACAGTACACTGGTGGTTACCAGGGCTGGGGCAGGAGTACAGAGAAGGAAGATGTAGGTGAAAGATCCAACATTTCAGTTAGGAAGCATCAGTTCAAGAGATGTACTGTACTGTTCAACAGGATTGCTGTGGTTTGGTCAAGTGCTCTGCGCTGGCTGCCGGATCCCTCGTGGCCATCCACAGTTTGAGTCTCAGCTCCAGTGGCTTGAAGAATGTGTCAGTGCATTCGTGTATGTCCCAAATCCTGGTGGAATGAAGTTAATGGAAGAAAGTTGGGGGCAGACTGCAGTGACAAAACCCTAGTTGGGGGTGCTATATCTCTGTTCCTGCTTCTCTTACTTACAGAATACACACATCAAAAAAATTATTTATTTAACTACATTTGTTATTATTTTTAATTTGACCAGACAGAAAGTGAGGTAGTAGGCCACCAAATCTGGGACTTGAAACATGGTTGACGACGTGGGAATCCAGTTCCTTTAGCCACCATGCCCCCTGCTGGCCCCAATACACAAACTTTAAAAGCAAAGAGGCCAGCAGGCGGCATGGTGGTGAAAGATGTTGGACTCCCACATGGCCAACCACGGTTCAAGTCCTGGACCTGGCAGATTGTTTTCTCACTTTCCCTCTCTCTCTCTGGTCAAATTAAAATTGAAAATAGTTTAATAAAATAATTCTTAAAAAAAAAAAAAGGCAAGCAAACAAAAATACTAAATGACAAATAGCACATTTGGACATTGGACCCACGGCTAACCATTCTAAAAAAATCTCTAGAGGCCAGCAGGTGTCGTGGTGGTTAAGGACACTGGACTCCCTCATGGCTGAGGACAGAGTTTGAGTCTGGGACTTTGGTGGCTTGCTTCTCACTTTCCTTCTCTTTCTCTTGCTCTGGTCAAATTAAAATAAATAAAGGTAAATAAAAATTTAAAAACCCTTTAGTTAAATATCAGTATAATTCATATCACCATAAAACTCACCTAGTTTTTTTTTTTAAGAGATTTTTTCTATAGGGCGCATGTGCCTGCAGGGCAGAGAGAAATCACGCCAGGGGAGAGGGGGATGGCCATATCACAATCCCTCTCCTCTCAGGACTTTGGGTATGCACACACATGTATCCCATTTTAGTTTTAAGCTTCCAAGTCCAGGACTTGAACAGTTGACTAGGTGGGAGTCCAGTGACGTAACCATTATGCCATCTGCTGGTCCCTATGCAGTTTTTAGTGTATTCAGATACATGCATCCATCACTAGTCAATTACTTTTTTTCTTAGCTTTTTTTTTTTTTTTTTTTTCAAAAAGAATTACTGAACTTTATTTTACCAGAGAGCAACAGAGTAAGAGGGAAATTGAGAAAGCAAGCTGCCAGGTCTGGGATTTGAACTGTGGTCAGCCATGTGGGAGTTCAGCACCCTTAACCACCATGCCACCTACCAGACCCATTTTTCCTTTTTAAAGGGTCATTTTAACTTTATTTAATTTGACCAGAGAGGGACACAGAGAGAGAGAAGGGTAGTTAGAAACCAAGCTGCCAGGTCCAGGACTCAAACCAGTCAGCCACGTGGGAGTTTGGCACCCTAAAGCACCACCTGCCAGTCCCTTTTAAAGGTTTTTGCTACAGAGCATGTGCACTTGGCTAGAGATGAGAGAAATCACCCTATCAAGAGGGGACGGCCATGCTGCAATCCCTTCTCCATGCTCCTCCAGGGATGTTGGGAACACATGCCTGGTATGGTTTTTTTTGGAGAGGGTTTTTGCTATAGGGTATGTGCACTCGCCAGAGAGAAATCACACCCCAAGGGGAGAGTGACCACTCTGCAATACCTTCTTCTCCATTCTCCTCTTAGGATCTTGGGCACACATACACATGCACCCAGCATGAGTTTTAAGGCAATGGGTCCAGTATGTGAACCGTAGTCAACTACATGGGAGTATAGCAACAGGCATTCCGCTGGTCCCGTCTGGCGTGATTTTCAAAGTGCAAGGTCTGGCACTCAAAATTCTAGTCAGCCACTTGGGAGAATCCAGCACCTTAATCACTTTAAATAAAAAAAGGTGTGAGTCAAGTTTATTTTAATGTGACCAGAGGCAGAGGGAGAGATGAAAAGTGAGAAAGCAAGCCACCACACTGAACCACAGTCAGCCAAGTGGGAATCCAGGGTCCTTAACTACCTACCCTGCCACGTCCTGGCCCCATAACCACCTTAACTTTCAGCTATTCTAAAAGTAGAGATGATTGGGGTCAGTAGATGGGGTGGTGAAAAAAAAATTCTTAAAACAAAATCTTATGCTATGGACATGCATCAGTTTATGGATATCTTGGGTTGCCTCTCATCTTTGGGTCATTATGAATGATGCTGCTGTAATCATCCATGTACAAGAGTAACTTTTTAAACTTATTATCGGTGCTCACCAGAGAAAGACAAAGGGAGAGAAGGCAAGCTGCCAGGGCCAAACTCAAATGTCAGTCAGCAATGTGGGAATCCAGTGCCCCAACCATGCTGGCCTCTCACATATGAGTTTTTTCATTTTTCGTGGGCACTGGATAAGTGAGTCACATTTGTTTGCAGAACTGCTAGACTGTTTGCTAAAGTGATGCATTTTATATTCCCATCAGCAGTGTATGAGATCTTAATTTCTCAATTTTCTTGACAAAATTTTTAAATAATTATTCTTAAGGTTTGCTTTAAGACATGTGTGTTCACGAGAGAGAGAGAGAGACAGAGAGAGACAGAGGGAGGGAGGGAGGGAAAGAAAGTCACCAGGTCTGGGACTCAAACCTTGGTTGGCCCAAGTCCAGTGCATTAGCCACCATGCCTTAACTGGGCTCAACTTATTTCCTGTAATTGACAAAATTTATATACTTATCATGCATAATGTTTTAAAATATGTACATTGTCCCTTTCTTGTTCCTCAGTCATCTTGGCAGCTGTTCTCAGCTGGGGCCGTCCTGGGCCTAAGGCAGGAAGATAGTGACTGCAAAGGTGAAAGTTGCAGGAGTCAATCAGCTCCAACTTATGAGAAGTGGGAAGTATGTGCCGGATACAAGCAGACTCTAAAGATGACCAGACAGGGCAAAGAATAGTTGGTTATCTTCACTAACTGTCAAGCTTTGAGGAAGTATGAAATTAGAGTACCATACCATGTCGGCCAACTCCGGTGATTACTACAGTAGGAAGGAAAAAAACACTGAACTGAACTCGGCACATGGAAAATACAAGTGTGTGCACACTGGCTATCACTGACCCAGGTGATTACAGTATCATCAGAAGCATGCTGGAACAGACCAGTGAAAAATAAACCGTGCAACACTTTTAATAAAACTTGCCAGGCTTGTTTTAAAAACATTTGTACACATACCCAACCAAGTGTATATTTTGCAATGACTACCAAACTAAGGACACTTAAAATCTACTTTTAGCAATGACTAAGAAATACATTGTTGGGGGCTGGCAGGTGGCTTGCTTGGTTGTTAAAAGTGATGGACACCCATATGGCCAAAAGGTTCAAGTTTGGGATCTGACGGCTTACTTTCTCACTCTCCCACCTCTCTGTCCCTCTCCAATCAAAAACTCTTTAAAAAAAAATTATCAAATTATCAGGGTGGGGCTGTTAAGTGACATGGTGGTTAGGGGTTCTGGACTCCCACATGGCTGATCACAGTTGAGTCCTGGACCTGGCTACTTGCTTTCTCACACTCACTCTATCCCTCTCTCTGGTCAAATTAAAATAAATGGACACTTAAATAAAACTAATTCCTTTAGTAAAATACATTGCTGGAGGCTGAAAACCGGCATGGTAGTTAAGGGTGCTGGACTCCCACATGGCTGATGGCAGTTTGATTCCCAGACCTGGAGGACTGCTTTCACTTTGCCTTTTTCCCATGTGGGAGGCTAGTGCCCTTAACCACCATGCTACCTGCTGGTCCCCACTTTCTCTCTCCTTCTGTCCCTTTCTGGTCAAATCAAAATATTATTATAAAGTTAAATAATTACTTAAAAAAAAAAGAAAAAGCATTGCTGTTAGTCATCTGTATAACTGAACTTACTCCTATTCTTTCACCATTTCTCTAAGTCATACTTTTTCGCTTTCTTGATGGTTTTTTAAATTATATTTATTCAATCTGCAGCGGGCCATGTGGGAATCAGCTTCTTGACCACTGGGCTGCAGTGTGGCCATCCCTCATAAGGGGTCATTTCTCTCTTTCTGTCTCTTTCTGGTGAGCGCACATGCAGAAATTCAGAAAAACCTCTCCCCCTCAAAAAAAAAAAAAAGACGAGGAAAGGCCATAAAAAAAATACAGTCCTGTATAACACATAATCTAGTTTTGTTTGTGTCTACAGTATGTCTTTGTTACCTAGAAAAAGCTGAAGACATTTTTTTTTAATCTGAGAAATAACCCTACTTATTAACAGAACAAGACAAAGAAAAGGACAGTAAGGTTTGTTTAATGTCTTTATTAATGAGAAATACATTGTCCATTCCTCTTTGCCTTCTTCCTTGTTTTCTGAACACAGGTCACCTGATCCTGCCAATTAAAGGAAATAATTATTCCAAAAGATACAAGAACATGTTATCAAGTTTTTATACCTAACATAACAACGCCAACAAAGTGAACTTCCTAACACCAAGGAAATATATATTAATCATAGAATGTGGCATTAATAATTGATTCATATACTAGAAATGTTTTTTAACACCCAAGAACCCTTCTGAAGGCAATTTAACATATGCATCATTCAGCTCACCTAGATACTTTGTCCAGTGACCTATGGCTTCCCCCTTTTGGTTGGCTCGTGCTATGTGATGTCTTGGCAACAAATATCCACCTATAATCAAGAGTATAATTTTACTAAAAAACATATTCAACATTTAATTTTTTGTTTTGTTTTAAAACACTTATTATCTGCTGTGCCCCAGCAAGCTATCACACCCTATAGCAAAACTAATAGAATGTATTTTTTAAAACTGTTTTATCAGTATCACTATTTTATCTTCCTTCAGGTCACACACGCTCATGGGGAGGGGTGAGAGAAAGCAATTTGCCAGGTCTGGGATTCAAACCATAGTCAAGTCATGTGGGAGTCCAGCACCTTAACCACTAAGCCACTTAGTGGCCCCAGCATGTGCATTTTATCCTGACAGTAAGAGGTATTTTGGGGACCAGATGGCCTAATGGTTGTCTGGACTGCCTGTACAGTTTAACAAGGTTTGAGTCATATACCTGGCAGTTTAAAACCCATGCCAGGTGTGTGCCCCAAATCCTGAGAGAACAGAGAAGGGATTATGGTATAGCTTACCCCCAAAAGGGGGATGATTTTTGTCTAGGGCCTAAGCATGTGCCCTATAACAATCTCTCTGCCCCGCTGCCTCAGAAAAAAAAAAAAAAGAGGTACTCTTTTGGGCACATGGTTTTTTACTTTTTGGCTATCTAATCATTTAGGAAAAGACTAGACCCACAGTTGGGTTACATTTGCTTATATTTTCTTCCCATGCACTTGCTAAAAATTTTCCTGTTCCTGGACCTGGCAGTTTGCTTTCTCACTTTTCTGTTTCTCTGGTTGATGTCATTAAATAAAATAATGATGAATAAAATTAATTTAACTTTATTTACTTATTTATTTAAATTTGACCAGAGAGTAACCAGAGAGAGGGGTGGGGGAAATCGAGAAAGTAAGCCAGCAGGTCTGGGACTTAAACAGCAGTCAGCCATGTAGGAGGTTCAGCGCCTGTAACCACCATGTCACTTGCTGATCCCAGAAAACAACTCTTAAAAAAAAATTCCTGTTCCTACAAATAACTAGATAGTTATCCTACCATTTCTGTGTAAGTAAAGAATTTTATGGGAGGAGCCAGCAGGTGGCATGGTGGTTGGAGCACTGGACTTCCACATGGCTGACCAAGGTTTGAATAGTGAACCTGGTCGCTTGCTTTCTCACTTTTTCTCTCTCTGATCAAACTGGAAAATAATAAAGTAAAAATAATTCTTCAAGAAAAATTTGGAGTAATGAAAATATAGCATTTAGGGAACCAGCAGTTAGCGTAATGGCTATGTTGCTGGACTCCCACGTAGTCAACTGCGATTCGTGTCCCGGACCCGGTGGCTTAAAACTCACGCCGGGCGCGTGTGCGTGCGCGCCCAAGATCCCGAGAGGAGAATGGAGGAGAAGGGATTGCGGCGTGACCATCCCCCCTGGGGGGTGATTTCTCGCTTTCTGTCTCTATGTCTCTCTCTGTCTGTCTGGTGAGCGCACGCGCCCTACAGTGAAAATCTCTCTCAAAAAAAAAAAAAAAAAAAAGCATTTACCCATTAATTCAAGTTTTCTGTTCATGATTGCTTTCATTACATAACCATTTATCTTTTTAAAAGTTATTTTATTTAACTTTATTTATTTACTCATTTATTTCATTTCAGTTTGACCACAGAGGGACAGAGCAAGAGAGAAAGTGAGAAAGTAAGTCACTGGGTCCAGGACACGAACCATGGTCAACCATGTGGGAGTCCAGTGCCCCTAACCACCACGACACCTGCTGGCCCCAACCATTTATCTTTTAAAAAAGTTACTGCATGGTGCATGAGCTCATGAGGGGAAGAGGAAGGAGAGAGAGTACTTGAGCGAGTACTCCCCTGAGATGGACACCCCACAATCCTCTCTCTTTCATTTTCTTCTTAGGATTCTGGCAACACATATTCATATAGGTGGCATGTTTTTTCAAGGTGTTGGTACAAGACTTGAACTGCACAGCTGGTCAATGTGGGATTTAGCCACCCTAACTACCATGGCAACAGTTAGCCCAACTGTGTTGCTCTTCACAATTCTTCTACTGTTTTTTATAGTAACATCTCAACTTTCTCACAAATACTTTTTTCCCCCAAAACAAAAATAGATAAATATTTAAAGAGAAACATGTCAAGAATCAAATCTACTCATTAAATAGGAAATTTTAAAAATCTTCTAGGTAACTTTTAAGTAAACTTACTTCAAGAATGTGCACTCCATTGTCAGCCAACATCAATCATTCTTACCTAAAGAATAATAAGAAAAAGTTAACACAAGAGACAAGGGCATAAAATAAGGCTTGAAAATGCTAGGTAACTTCAAATTTTAAGGAATAAAATTCCAGAGATAAAGATTGGGGGTAGGTTACAGCGTAAAAAAAAAATAGGAAGAAACTTCATCGGGGGAAAAAAATCTAAAATTATTCTTACATCAAGTAATCAAGTAGACACCTGAATTAGAATGAAAACTATTTTCTTTAAAATGCGAAAGCCTAACTCATTTTCACCAGTCTGAGCACAATGAAGTGTGACTGCAACCCAAAATATACTATCCCTTATGTGAAGGTATGTGACAACATCTACCTCACCAAGTGAGTCTTAGCATCAGCTCTCTCTTTATATAAAAGCACATACCCTGTTCCCCCATTTGAGTATGTCTTCCATTCTCAGGTGGACTGACCACCTTCAGCATGAGTTTCCAAGAATGCCCTACCCCTTCCCATCGTACAGAAGAACACTGCAGTTATCTTGCAATCCTATGTATTTGCTTTCGTTCTTTCCTTCCAAGTCCTCACTGAATTTAAAGTTAGGGCAGGAAGCTATGCCTTACTGCAACAGCAAGGGACCCAAGTTTTTCTGAGGGAGAAGATATTCACCTTCACTATGTCTGGCAGAGTTGCGGTGCACAAAAAGCATTATCAAGCTACTTTAGCTCTAGGTTTCCTCCCTGTTTCATTACTGCCAAGGATATACGAAATAGAATTAATTCCCTGTTGCACATGTACCATCCATAAGGGATACTATATCGTTTTGCATTCGTCCCCATTCTCCAGATTATCCTATTCTGTATCCAGTCCCTTTTTTCCCTTCAAAAAAATATCTTCAGCACTGGTGTTCAAAAGCAGTAGTTTAATGGTTGATGTTCAGCAACTGTGAAATTTCCACAGTTGAGTCTTAAAAATTGCCAATCATTATCTAGCAGCAATGACAGATGATTAGAAGTCAAATCCTCTAAATTCTTTTCCCTAATTGGCAGCCATTTGAGAACTGCACTAGCTGTCAGCACTGAAGCATTATTAACTAAAGTCAAAACCAAATAAAGGCCCAGACAAACATCCTGGCTTTCTAAAACCTGTCCAAAATCATTAGGGTAAAGGCAGTAAATGCAGGACTATGGGTCATGTCACTGCAGCTGACAATGATTAACAATAGGACACATGCACCCCCATTAAGGTTAGAGTCCAAAACTAGTCACACGCATCTCTTTATTGGGGGAAAAGTCAGACTATTATGCATTCTTTGTAGGTTTGCATCCTTGCATATTATATTAGGAGCACCCCGAAGCATTTCTTTCATCTTTCAGAAAGCACCGGTATCTGTTCCAAGGGCCTAACAGTACGAAAATGCATTCTGGTATCACACCTCTGAACTCAAGACTGTTCTCATTAAAAGATTAATTTTGGTTTATAACATGAAAGGATTGTGAAATACAATGCAAGCACCTCGGTATAGCATTATTACTGGAACCCACGTAATTCCCGGCTTTTTGACTGAGTGCTTTTAAAAATCCACTGCGCTAAGATTCACAATTTACAGCTACACACAAATTAAAACTTGTAGGAATCAACTTAGGTCACAGGTTTCTCATTCTAAAGTGCAAAAGCCCAGTAATCTTGCAGTAAGCAGAATAAGCAAAATGAATCCCCCACCCCAGTGATGTTCCTGAAGTCCACACATTACACCAAGTACATTCTCTGAAAATCGTTACTGACTAGTAAGAAAGAAAACTTGAGCTTTTAGTTCTAAACATCTACTCGATCACGGCAGCAAGCACTGGCCACCGATTTAATGGGTTAAGGACACAGAAAACCCCCCACCAGGGTTCTATGCAATTTAGTAATACTCATGTTACTAATACTGAGCATTATGTTTGATCTGTGAGGTATTATAAATATGGAGGAGCTGTAACTAGTGTCACCAGTTTCTCTTATCTCTCAGGAGTTAAAAAACTTGTCTGCTTAAATGATCTATGTATATTAAAGTACTAATCGGTCCCCACCTTGTGAATTGCTTGCCAAGAGCAAGATATTATTCTTGATACAATGGGAAAAAATTCTCAAAGTCATGAAGAGTTTTCACCGGCATTTATGCAAAGTAAACCAAACCTTCCAGTTACAGAGCAGAAAGCATTAAACATGAAAGCTGTTTCTCATGCATGCTAGCTAAAAAACCAGTTCAGAGACCAAGGTTAAGTAGAATTGAGGTCTGGAACAACAGCTGATGCAAAGCTTAAGTCCCAAGCAACAAGAGAATGTGCTTCTGAAGACTTACATTTTCTTGCATTAAACATTTTGGACTATACCATCACAACCCTAAAGCTAAGGGAACCAAATTCATAAAGCTACCCTGAACATAGTCATCCTACAGAATACGACGAAGTCTTATGACTGGGAATGATTCCCAACATGTATTCAACTGTAGGCAAGTCAATGTTCCACACCACTTTCCCCCAGGTTTTAGAGTATAGACGTATGTAGACAAGTCATATAACTTGAACTATTCACGTGAAGATTCCCATCTAAGCCCAAGTTAGTAACAAAAGTTTCCCATGGAGCCCATGTTTTAAGAATTTTAAATTGTATTACCCCCAAAAAAGAAGAAAAAAACCCCTGTGCTTTAGTTCTAATTCACTCAACTTGCAGAATAATTACTAAGATTGCACACTGATAATTACTGATATTGCTCATCTATGGGCAGGTCATTTGCCACAACAGAGACTAATTATCACATGCTATAGTCCGTTTTCAAGATGTTAAAAGCATTCTAGGTTTCCCAGTATGGTTCCCCACACCACTGTCGTGTCCCATGTTATCTTCAGTTACGATGCAGCTAAAGAAAACCACACAACTGAGTCAGATATACCAAGAATCAAGTTTGCACTTTTTATCTGAGAACTGCAACAGCACTGAATTCTGCCTGACAAAATTACGGCTCTAGCCCCAAACCCACGGAGTTTTGATATAAACTAGCTTTACCATACAAGTGTTTAGGTGCTGCACTGTAATTTCATTGTCAGAAGTGTGATGTCAGAATGCCCACGGAATAAAAGTACATAGCAAGTCACCAAGTTAGATTATATTGCTTGTTACCTACCTGTATGCAGTCGGCAATGAGAATCTTGGAGCAAGCAGGAATACTACATCCGGGTCCTAATGTCCATTGCCATTTGCGGTACTACGTTCCTCACAGTTACGCACTGCAGAAATGCTGGCTAAATGCAGTTATGTAGCAGGCCACTACTTTAATAGTGCATAATTGCAGTCCAAGAACACCAACATTCCGCCACAGCATAGTGGCTTGCCCAAGAAAAGCCAAGTACCTAAATTTTAATCTGCCATAATATGCCACTTGTAAAATTTGCACAGGCGTAACATTACAATCTCCCAAATTGTTATTTGTTTGTATTAGTGGTATAAATACATCTACACAAAGAGTGGTGGGTTTATTTCTTCTTAGGGGTTTAAAGTTCTAAGCAAAGAGGACTATGGTTTCAAGTAATGTAAGCCAATGGATTAAAGCCTGTAAGGTATCTATTAAATACACTGGAGTCTTAGAGAATACAGTTTTTAAAGCTTAGGAGAAATAAGTTTTAAAAACAATAACCAGTGTTCCTCTTAAAACAAAATTGTGAGAGAAAAGTAGGGAAGAGGAAATGGGGGCAGATGGTTTAAGTGAGAAAAATAGCTAAGGTACTCCCAAAATTATCACCCTCCCATTCCCATCCCAAGTTTCAAATCCACTTTTAGGAACCTACTTATTAAGATGATTGAAATTCACCTTAGTCTAAAACCTACTGCATATTTCAAGACTTAGTGAAAGTCTATTTGAGTAGCTTACAACCCTTGGTACACTGCTGGTACAGTGATGAAAGCCAAATGTCAGTTAAAACTAAGCAACATGTTCTGCTAAACAATGTTTAGCAATTCTACAGCCCACAGTAAGGGTATCAAAAGCCACAACTTTCAGGAGATTATCCAATAGTACCCTTCACCACTCTTCAAAGGTACAGTACTACCAAAAGCTTAATTTAGGGTCTGTGCCAGCATCCCTTATAAAGAAAGGCATGTAATCTGAAAAATAAACTGAAACATTAATTTTATAGGCAGATTTCCCCCATTTCCCCACCAGCCCCCTCCCACAAACATTCAAGTTTACCCTCCATGGGTGTCCCATGAACACCCTTTATTTTCTGGTTATTAGTAGAGTCCCACTATACAATTTAACCAAATTGTAATGGACTCCTTTCAAATCAAGACCCTTATTTTCATATGGAAAATCTCTTCTGTATCGCCAATCAATGACTTGGGATGAAACTTCCTCATTGATACTATTAGGGTAGAATGACTGATTTCCAAGTATATTGGAGAACAGAAATAATGAGGATATTTTCTAATGAGACTCTCCCTTAATTAGCACACCATGTACCTGTCAGTAATACAACCAAAATTTGGTAAACAGGTATTCATACTCCACTAATGATGTACTTGGAAGTATTATCCTGTTTTCTATGTAGAAAGTGTTTGTTTCAATAAGCCTCCTTTTGTACTAAGGTACAATACTAAACTTCAACATGTTAAAGGTTTGATTTAGAATTTTTCTTTTGCCAATTCGCACCAAGAACAGAGGTGAAAAGGAGGAAGACATATTCCGTAGTAAAGAGTTCTATAATGTAGATTCAAATGGAATCATAACTAAGAACAAAGCCAAACCATTCAATTACCTTACCTACTGTTAGGAAATCGGTCCTCAACATATTTACACTGGGAAATCGGGCTCCCATTGTACTAACAGACAACAGTACAGCATCTACTTTATTATTGAGTCAAAAAAAAACTCTTGTTCTAATCATAGGAGATTCAATGAGGTTGACAAGTAACTGACAACACCACTGAAACATTCCAATGGTAGGAGGAAGGGGTATTTGTACTGTATAGCATGGGCAACTCTCTCCAGATTTAGTGCTACATCAAAAGGAAACTATGCAAGAACAGGTTAACAAATTAACAATGGGAAGAGTTATCTGCAACACTATTTGTGATGAACAAACTAGCTCTCAGAAAAGAAAACCAGATTTTTATAATCCTCCAGATTTTGCCCAGTAGTAGCACGAGGAGATGTGAAAGTTACAGAGTACAAATGTTAAATTAAACCTATTTTATGGCTACTAAACCTTGCTTGCAAATTGAATTTTTCAGACCAAAATCCAACTTTATATATTACTTGAAGTAATACATGAAAAGGCTTCATGTTTAACAATCTTTAATTCAAATGTAAAAGTTCAATACAAGCCATTTATAGGGCTTGGGATATGTTCTTAATTTTAAAAACAAGAATGGGGAAATGCAACAAAATGATCTTTCCACTTTTCAAAAACTTTCAAGGAAGGGATAGATCATAATAGGGCCATAAGAGATCCATTTAACCAAACCCACTTTCTCCCCTACCAATAGTCTTAACACGCATTCCATAATCTTAATACATATTCCTGAATGAAGATACAGTTCAGCTTTGCTTACATAACCATTTAAAAAAACTCAGCACCATCTTGCTTCCTATAATGCCAAATAAATCATGAAACTACTTCAATATGCATTTCTTCTGTTTAAAACAAGGGGTCCAGTTATTTGTAGAAAGCCAATACTTAAGTCTCCAGATACATTTCCCAGAAATGGCATATGCCATTCAAAGGCCTAGACACTCTCATGCTTTCAAAGTGGAATACCTAGCCTAATATGCATAGAAGCATGAATGGCAAAGTTGAAGATCAATATTATAACTATTTTTTTCTATTTATTTGAAGCACAGTAAAAAAAAAATTGGTACACTTTGGAAATTCAGTGGCACAAGGTACACTGCCATAACTTGAGGGACATTATACAGATTAAAAAAAAAAAAGGAAATAAAAAGGAAAAAAATTTTCTCCTGTTTCAAACACTGCATTACATAATTTTACCTGCCCGAACAGACCATTTACAAATATTAGGTCAATAAACTGCTAACATCCATAAAAAGGTAGCTTTCTTACTAAAATGCAAGAATTTAAAAGATTGGTATCTAAACAAGAAAAGACAAAAACAAGCTGGAATGAAAGCCTACATATCACATCTAAAATCTGGGTTTTTTGTTTGGGCCTTCATACTCTTCTCTCCCTCTACCATATCCTGCTGGAGTTCCAGGTCCCATTCCTCTAGGACCCTGTCCACCCACAGGTCCCGCACCTCCCTGCCCAAAGCGCTCAGTACGCTATTGGAACAGTAATTAACAGTTCATTATATATGTAGTTGATGTCCATGTGTGTTAAGTAAATATTTTAGAAGGTTCCGTAGTCAACGTTCGTCGATACAATCACCAATGAGTCGATCCACAGGTACCGGGAACATAGAAAGGAAAAAAGGGTAATTTGAAAATTAGTTTACGATAATACATGCCTTGTGGTATGTTCCCACTTGAGCCATTCTCATACACCTGTTTCAAAGAATAGATCTTCCCTGTAGTGCTAAAAAATTTAAGAATTAGTGCAGATGTGAAAATCCATTCCAAAATGAGTTCTAAAAAATTTCACATCAAGTTAACCCACTGAAAAAAGCTTGCAATCGATCACTTTCAAGGTCTGAACAGGAAATTTTAATTTCCAAGTAAGCCTAACAAGCCCAACCAGCCAGATTCAGTTCACTCAATGAAGTGACAAAGACCTACTCACCAGTTAGTGGTATGTGCTGCATAAGAAACTTGTGCTTTTCAAGATCTTAAGACACATCTGCAAAGTTGCAGAAATCTTAAAAGGTTGAAAGTTTTAATAAAATGCTACCAGACTACAAAAAAGAAAAAGCACAAAAAACTAACAGATTTAGTCACTTAACCGCCACAGTAATTGATCAAAAAACTTGTGTTGCCATAATCTCACAGTTATACCACCTTCAAAGCCAACACTATATAACCAGAGACAATTATGTTCATAGCACTATCCTGTATTATTGCAAATTAAACAGGTACAGCCCACGTTCCTAACAGCCCAACTTTCCCCTCAGGGAAAGTTCAATACGTGTACTGACACTATGATATATTTTAGATCAAGTCCCAAACAGCATTAAGGCCAAGGTACAAGCACTGCAATAAAGCAGTGACTTGCTTCATTGTTCTATCCAGTTTTAGGTACTTCTGGACTTAAAATAGAAAACTTTACCAAAACAGCAGAACCCTATAGGTATGCAAGCACAGCAGCCTACACTGTCTGTCAAATTCCATTGAAAACAGATCAGCTAACAGAATATTACTCAAAAAAGGGGGGCCTCAAATGGCAGCAGTTTATTTTCCTATAAATAACTTCTACTTTTGTTTTAGAAAATACTGCATAGCTACGTTAAAAAAAAGAGGACTAAACCTTCATCCATTATTTTTGAAAATCTTAAACTTATAGGGTTTTTCCACATTATACTGTATTACACCTCAGAGAACTAAAAAAAAAAAAAAGAAAAAAGACAATCTGGGGTTTCATGATTATCTAACTACAAGAACTGAGAACCCAAGAGCTATCTTGTTACTTAGAACATCGAATTTTAACTGTGGGAACATCCTGTCAAAATAGATATTTACAAGTTTGATACATGCCTAACAATCTACTTTAAAAATATGTAAACAAAAATATTCCCCACATATTTTAAAAATTCACTGTGACGAAAATAGTGCTACATTGAACTCAACAGCTGGTTAACAATTGTAATGTTAATTTTCTAAAAACCTTAAATACTAGACTTTAAAAATAGGTGAGGTCCAGTCCCACACTAAATCCTAATTTCTATTTACAAAATCAATCTTGCGAGCCACACACTGTAGCTCCACTTATCAAAGTCTCTAGGTGAACTAAACATTCAAAACTCAGCTTTAAAAATGCACTGTCTAAACCCACAAAAATTCGGTACTGAAGATTTGTAAAGCCCTAATGCAGCCATTCATACCAAATTGATTAATCTAAAGCTATCTGTACGGCTAAAACATGATAGCATCACGAAGGTTCAGATCAAATGCACACTATTAGTATGCTTGAAATTATTGATTTTTGCTACTGTGTAGCAAAATAGAGATGTCCGTTCATTTTAGAAAGTGTACCTACAGACAGGCCCAACAGTTGGGAAACGACGAGTCAAAACACTACACAATTCCCCTTTCATGGGATAGAAACCACACCAATAGGTCAAAGCCCTACACATCACTAAAACATGCCTAAAGCTATAAACTACAAGTCTGATTCCTGCTTATGGCAAATACCAGCTTAATAAATGACAGTTTGCCATTTTATTACTCTCACTTTGATACAGAATAATCAGATTTATTATTGCTGTAGAATTTGGATTTGCCATGCACTGTAGTTCGAAAGTGCACAAGCAATGTAACGGAAAGCACCTAAATCTACTTATTGCCAGAGATAACTCCACATACTACTAACAGCATTGACCCTTGCTGGCAACCATCATCTGTTTAGGTTACCACACAAAGTTCTACGTTGCCAAAGTATTCCCTGATAGTACATATTTACACGATGGGGGAACTAACAAGAGGTCCAGTCACCTACTTAAAATAAAACAAAACAAAACAAACAAACAAAACACATGTAAGTCATGAAAAAGAGAATTTCCTTTGTACTACGTCCCACAGGATACATTACCATGTCGCTTCCCATCATGGAACCACTCATGGTTGCGGGTGGAACTCCAGGATTAGCTTCATAACCTATGCCACCACCACCACCTAGAGGTGGAAATTTCTGGCCTCCTGAACCATAGGGATCTGGGAAACAAAAATGGTGGTTACAATTCTACTAGAATACTGCTCTCTGATGGTATTAGTAATGAAATTTTCTTACTTACCTCCCATGTTCATTGCTCCTCCACCACCCATTCTCATGTCTCTTTCTCTCTGAAAGAAAAAAAAAAATTCCTTTCATACACTTGTAACATACTGACCAAACATTCTTAAAGAGTATAGAGCATTTCAAAGACTTTTTAAAAAGTCAAAAAGTAGTTCTCTCATTGACTAAAGTTTTTCTCAATAAATATTCTGGCCCACCCATGGCAGTGCAAGCAGAGGACACCATTAGCAGTGGCTAAAGGCCACGGGGGATGGCCTGGGTTTGGTCTGTGGCCCATCCTAAACATTTAGGCCAGGTGCAGTGGCAGACACCGACAGAGTCCTAGCTAACTGGGAAAATGGAGAGGGGGAACAATAATGTCCAAACCCTATCAGAGTAACACATCTTTCCCTTCTTCTTACTCTCATTAAAAAGAAAAAAAAAAAAAAATCAACTCAGTATTCTTGGACTGGCCCTATAGCCTACTGGTTGAAGGAGCCAATTCTCACATGCCCAACTGTGGTGTCCAGCCCCGATAGCTCAAGGGATAATCTGGGCCTGTGTACACATATGACCAGGATCCTGATGGAAGGGGAAAAGTGAGGATTCTGGTGTGAATGTGCCCAGGAAGGGGATCATTTCTCCTTCGTGTCTGGCAAGTGCATGCACACTGACAGTTTAAAACACAAAGATCAATATCCTGAAAACTAGCTTAGGGTCAATTATCAAATTCTACAAATTTTCTGCCTATTCGATAAAATCTTTTGACATTATACACACACACACACACACACACACACACACACACCCCAAACTCATGGCAATCAAACATAAAACGCTATTTAAAAATGGCATGGTAATTAAGGGCTCTGGACTCTCACATGACCAACAGCAATTCAAGTCCCAGACCTGGCAGCTTGCTCTGTCTCTCACTCTGTCCCTCTCTGGTCAGATTAAATAAATAAGTTAAATAAAATATTTCTTAAAAAGTAAAAAAAAAAAAAAAAAAAAAAAAGAAAAGAAAAAAAACAATTTTTAAAAAAAGTAACATGAGATGTTACATTTAATTGAACAAAATTACATTCTAGTTACCTACAAGTTCGATTGTGAACTCCTAATTAGATTTGACTTACTGGATCCATGTAGCCCATCCGACTGTAACTTTCCTCTCTCTGGCGTCTCATTTGTTCTTCCATCTCACGTTGACGAATCATCATCTCTTCTTCTCTTCTGCGACGCTCCTCCTCTTGCCTAGGAATATTCACAAGCATATAAATCAAAATGTTATCTGCATCTTTAGAATTTTATGTATTTACTTATTTCAATTTGACCAGAGAGAGAACAAAAAGGAAAGCAAGAAAGCAAGACACTAGGCCCAGAACTTGAACTACAGCTGGCCACATGGGAGTTTCCAGAGCCTTAACTATCACACCACCTACTACTGCCCTCCCCTTTTTCTGAGAAAAAATCTTTGCTATAGGATGCATGTGCTTGCTAGAGAGAAAGTGAGAATCACTGCCCTAGAGGTGATAGCCATACAGGAATCCCTTTTCCACCCTCCTCTTGGCATTTTGGGTATGCATGCAACATGCACCCAGCCTGAATTTCAAGCCTTTGTGTCTGGGCATTGAACAGCACACGATCAGTCATGTGGGAGTACAGTGGTGTTACAGTGTTATCTACTGGTCCCTTATCTACATCTTTAAAAATTCATTTAAGGGAACCAACAGTTAGCGTAATGGCTATGTCGCTGGACTCCCACGTAGTCAACCGCGGTTCGTGTCCCGGACCCGGTAGCTTAAAACTCACGCCAGGCGCGTGTGCGCCCAAGAGCCTGAGAGGAGAATGGAGAAGGGATTGCGGTGTGACCATCCCCCCTGGGGGGTGATTTCTCGCTTTCTGTCTCTATGTCTTTCTCTGTCTGTCTGGCGAGTGCACGCGCCCTATAGCGAAAACCTCTCAAAAAAATCATTTAAAGTAAGCTCGTGGAGTTTGACGAGAATCTTAAAAATCTAATACAAAGGCTTAGAAAATATGTCTGGGAAAGTTTTGTCAATGAGAAATTTACACTCTATTCCACTGTAAGTGTTCATCAACACTGACCTAACATTTAACCTCTATACTTGTTGAATCACCTGCAACATTGAGTTCATATGTATCTTTCTTCCTACAAGTTAAAATGTAAACATTAGCAGAGAGAACTTAAATTGAATAAAATTTTACCTCAATTGCATTTCTTTACGTTTCTGCATTTCTTGATTGTGAAGTTCTTCCATGCGTCTTAGTTCTTCCTGGCGCCTCATCAGATCTGAATATTAAAAACAAAACATTTTGGATTCACATTAATTGGAGGTCCAGTTAAGTTCAAAAAGCAACTGATCATATTAGTGAAATTCAGAGAATCTTTTACCTTGGCGCAAAAGATTTGCCTGATGCTCATGATAGGCATCTTCCATTTCACTTTCCAATTTATCTTTTGCATCCTTCATGTTCTTTTCAACTTGTTCCCTTTGCTGTTTTTCCATTTCATCCAAAGACTTCCATCGCTGAGAATATTCATACTCAAATGTGCCATGCTGGGCAAAACGAGGAGGGGTTTCTCTCTCCCTGAAAACACACAAAATTTAAACATAGGACAACTGGTAGAAGTGTACAAGAAATAATACTTGATTCGGGAAGTAGTGGGTGGTGTGATGTTAAAGGGCTGGACACTCCCACGTGACCAACCAGTTCAAGTAGCAGCCCCAGTGGCTTGCTTTCTTACTTTCCCTTTCTCTCCCCAGTCAAATTAAAAATAATAATAATAAAAATTTAAAAAGTATTAAAAAAAGAAAACTGCTTGATTCCATAAAAGTACTGTCGGGGGAACAGCAGTTAGTGTAATGGCTATGTTGCTGGACTCCTATGTAATCCAACGCGGTTCGAGTCCCGGACCTGGTGGCTTAAACTCATACCACGCACGCGCATGTGCGTGTGTGCCCAAGATCCCGAGAGGAGAATGGAGAAGGGAATGTGGAATGGCCATCTCCCCTGGGGGGTGATTTCTCACTTTCTGTCTCTGTCTGTGTCTTTCTGGCAAGAGCATGTGCCCTATAGCAAAAAACCTCTCAACAACAACAAAGTACTGTTCAGACCCCCAATCACTTGTAAGGATTAAAAAATGCACTACTCACCTTCTTTTAGATAAATCTTTTTAAAGAATTATTTAATTTGTAAAACCATTATTTTTTTTTTTAATTTGCTGTAGGACAGACACATGCTCAGAAAGAGAGGGACAGAGCAAAAGTGAGAAAGAAAGCTGCCAGGTCTAGAACTCAAATCGTGGTCTGCCACATTGGAGTCCAGTGCCTTAACCACCATGCCACCTGCCAACCCTGACACTGTAGATACATCTTATTTTTCCGAATTTCCTATTTTTCTCTAGCCAAACCCCTCAACCAAGACTTATTTTCTCCATCCATAGAAACACACCCCAAAAGACAAAGTGAAATTGCAGTGAATGTATTTAATTCAGAAACAAACATATCCTTTTTGTAAGTTTTGCTATAGGCCACATGGACTTGCCAAAGAGAGCACGAAGAAATGAGAAGTCAACCCCAAAGGGTGCTGGCCATCTACAGTCTCTTCTCCATCCAGGACTTTTGGCAGGCTCACATACCTACTGCTGACCCCCAAACAGACTTTTGAATACAATTTCAAAGTCTAACTCCATGAGCCTGAGATTTTTATGAAGCATATGGACATTGAAGAATTTTGCAATTTTTACTTTTTTTTTTTTTTTTTTGCTATCGGATGTGTGCGCACACCAAAGAAACAGAAACAGAAAGGGAGAAATCACACACCCCCAAAACTCCCCCTCCCTTATGTGGCCACTTCACAATCCTTTCTCCTCCAGTCTCCTTTCTGGATTTTGAAGATGTACATGCGCCTAGCATGAGTTAAGCCTCCAGGTCCTGACTTGAACCACAGTTGACTACATGGGAACCCAGTGACATAATTATTACACCATCTGCTGGTCCCTGCAATGTTTGTTTGTTTTTTATTTTTTAAATTTATTTAGCTATAGGGTGTCTGCTCTTGCTGGAGAAGAGTGAGAAATCACCCCCTGGGGTATTCTCCCCTTGGAATCTTGGGCATGCCTGCACATGCACCTGGCCTTTTGGGTTGCTGTGTCTGGAATCCCAACTGGGGCCAACTATGTGGGAGTCCAGCAATGTAACCATTATACCATCTGCTGGTCCCAACTAGAGCAACTTCTCTTTAACACTTAAAAATTGCCAACATGCTAATCAATCTTACTTCTGATACATTGGATTCTTCTGTGCAAGTTTTTCAGGAAGACCATCTTCATCATCCAATTGTTCAAGCGGTTCCACAATGACTGGGCGAGGAGTTCTAGTAAGAAATAACGAAGATGGTTCCATTTTAGCTTTAATTTTATGGCACACTCCTCACACAAATTACTAGAAAAAGGTCAAGACAACTTACGTTGTCAGTAAGAAAACACCTTCGCTGCATCGTTCAAATGCTTTTCTTGCTGCTGGTTTGGAAGCAAATTCAACAATGCCTTTTCCTGTAGATCTTCCACGATCATCAACGATTACAACAGCCCGTTCAATAGGACCAAACTGGCTAAATGCTTCTTCCAACAGTTCATTGGAAACATAAGGTGAAAGATTACGAACAGAAAGGGCAGCAGCATGAGTGGCAAAGCGAACCCGAAGCTGTCTACCTCTCATAGGCGTATCATCAAGTTCAGCTTTGGCGATTTCAGCCAAGGCTCTAGACTCCTGTGGGAATCAGAGACTCATGTTAATGATTTCAAAATTGGATAAGGCTCATTCCTCAAATTGTCCTGAGCTTAATTTCTATCCTATTGTCCTTCCAGCTCCTTACAAGTGTCTTTTTTTTTTTTTTTTTAAGTTTTTGCCATAGGGTGTGTGCACTCACAAGACAGAGACAGAAAGCGAGACATCGCCCCTACACACATCCAGGGATGGCCACACTGCAACCCCTCCTCCTTCACTCTCCTTTTGAGATCTTGGGCTTGCAGGCATATGTGCCTGGTGTTAGTTTAAGACTGGAACCACTATTGACTACAAGGGAGTCCAGCGACATAGCCATTACACTATCTGCTGGTCCTACAAATGCTCTCTTCAAGCAGCCTTCTCTAGAACCACTAATGGTAGTTAAAAGTCATCCTGCAGCTCATACTTCTTTTCTTTTTTCTTTTTTTAAAGCGAGAAACCCCCCACTAGGAAAGATAGCCATTCTGCAATCTCTTCAACACCATCCCCCTCTCAGGATTTTTGCACATGCTGCCAGGTCTGGAACTCGAACTGCACATTCGGCCAGGTGGGATCCAGCTGCCTTAACCTCCATACCACAAGCTGACCCCACACTTTTTTTTTTTTTCTTCTTTTTTTTCCCTTTGGAGAGATTTTCACTGTAGGGCGCGTGCGCTCGCCAGACAGAGAGAGACATAGAGACAGAAAGCGAGAAATCACCCCCCAGGGGGGATGGTCACGCCGCAATCCCTTCTCCTCCATTCTCCTCTCGGGATTTTTCCTCTCGGGATCTTGGGCAAGCACGCACACACGCCCGGCGTGAGTTTTAAGCCACCCACCGCGGTCGACTACCGCGGTCGACTACGTGGGAGTCCAGAGACATAGCCATTACGCTAACTGCTGGTTCCCAACCCCACACTTTCTTAAAAATGTACAACCATACTACTTTTAACTATCAATTACTTAAAACTCGCCTTCAGCAATTGTAGTAACAAGAACAAAACCTTTTCATTCTACATAAAATCAAACAATTACACTCACAAGTTTAATAAATCCAAATCCTTTGCCCTTGTTGATAAAAACTTCTCCTGGTTCTCCATATTTTGCAAATAGTCTTTTGAATTCATCTTTTGTGATATCAGCAGGTAGATTTCCAACAAATAACCAGCACCGCTGTGTGTAAGTTTTCTCCCCAGGCCTCCTCAACAAAGACAAGTTGGCTTTAAACCCCTAATGAAAATAGGAAGGGATTTTTTCAGACAGTGACCTCTCCAAATGTTATTTTTTCTTCCCCAAAACCGATTTCTTTCACGTTCCATTTTAAAGCTAACGTCAAAATTTACTCTATTTGCCACCTAACCACTGAATATCAAGAAGTCCCAATCCCCCACAATGCGAAGACACCCGCCGGAAGAATAAACCAGCAGCAACTCTGTCAGCAATGTATGAACTGTCTCCGACAAATCCGAATCACGGGCGACAGGTAAAATACTAGTGAAGCTCTAAGTTAAAAACAGGTACACGAAACCCCTCTCGAGCCGACGACTGGAGCCTGCACTCTCC